ACAGGAGTGGGTGAGTGAGGTTCTGTGGCTTGTGATGTGCAGAGGTCAGTCTAGATGACCATGATGGTCCCTTCTGACCTTAAAGTCTAGGAGTCTGAACACAGTGAGGTGAACTTGTAGAACTACATTAAAAACAGAAGTTAATTAAATACAAAGGCCTATGTTTAAAAAAAAATCAATATAGTCATTGACTAAACTGATAAAAGCAAGACAATTCAGAGGAAATACCAGGGTGTTAACTAGCTTTGTTCTGTCTATTATTGAAATACACATATGTGATATTGGCACAGGCACTGTTAGACCTCTGCAACATCTTGGGGAATTAGAATATAACTGAGAAAGGAGCATGCACTCAATTTCTTTTGTTCTCATCTTTCAATTCAGAGCAGAATTGCCAGGGTTTCCTGGAACTTTGGATATTGTTTTTGCAACCTTTTTTTTGTTTGTTTGTATTTTATACTTTTTGCCATCATGATTATAGTTCAGGCAGCTTTTATATCTACCTGGTTTTTGTTTGCTTTTGCTTTTTTAAGTAGTTGCTACAGCCAACACTCACAGGCTTCAAAATGGTGACCCAATCAGGACCATACCTCAGGCTATACATACTAGATGGGAAGGTGGGGTCACAGCTTTAGAAAGAAATGGAGGTTTGCTGGGATGAATTCCAAGTACTGGTAGTCAATGAAAATGCTCCTTTGCTTGTAAGGGTCTCACTGGCTACCAGTTACTGATGCTGAATAGAGCACTGAATTGTCTACTACCTGAAGGTGGTTTTTCAGTGTCCTGATTCGGCAAGTCCCTTCTGCGACATATAGCAATGCTGAGTGACATTACTAACATTGTTCATGTTTTCTTTCTGTCACAATCACACACCCACTCATGCCATATGGGATCTCTGATGTGAAACTGAACAATGTGCCAGCCAACACTCAGCACGGGACTCTGAGTAAGCAGAGCTCTGACCCCTGAAGAACTGAGGCTTGTCTACACTGGAAACACTACAGTGCACACACTCACTACAGTGACAGGAGGGGGTCTCCCATCGGCAGAGTTAATCCACCTCCCTGAGAGGCAATAGCTTGGCCTACACTGGGGGGTTAGTTTGTCTTAGCTATGTCACTCAGAGGTGTGGATTTTTCACACCCCCAAGTGACATACCTGGGTCAATTTAATTTTTGACTATATAGTGTGGGCTAGTTTGCCTTGGTTATATTCACTGCTACTGTAGCCCAGTGGGCTAGCTTGCCTTTATTATTTTGCTGCTTTGCATTAAACTGTATTGAGCAGTACTGCAAGGAACCTACAGGCCCGTATTCTGTAAGACATTAGCTTCAGCAAGTTAGCATAAGGCTTGAGGCCTATGCACTTTAAACAGATAAACGGCCCAACGGAAAACCCCAAGTATTTGGGGAGCTGAAAATAGAGTTTAAGGGAGAGTTCTGACCACAGGTATATAATTCAACCACAGAAGTGTCCTGGCAATGAACTGACATACATAACAGGTACATGAGATACATTTAAGGCTAGCCTGCTTGCTTGCTACATATCTTTTCTATAAGTTTCTTATTTTCTTATGGGTTTTATTATAATAGGTTTATATTAGAGTATATTTTGGCTGTAACACAAGGGACCTGCAGGCCACATCCTGTATGTTGAGCTAAGGCAAAGTTATCATACGTATGTTTGGGACCTTTCACCTAGATAGATGGTGATGAGCTAAAGCATAAGGTTGATATATGGCTGCAACATTTAACATAGAGGATGCATTAAAGCAGGTTGCCATAGGGGCTTTCCTAAGTTCATATCCTTTTAAACTTAACGGGTACACCACAACTTGGAAAGAACCGAAATAACCAGTCAGGACAGAAATAACAAATGTGATACCTAATCACTAAAGGGCCATGGTAACGAATTGATGTATATGATAATAAGTTGAGATCATTGATATACTAACCTATAGGAAAAAGACACTCCAACATTAGTAAGGTGAGGAAATACATAAAAGGAAAAGGGAAAAAATCCCCTATTGAATATGTATCGAACATAGCGGCGTCAGCATAATGTATTATAAAAGTGGCATCCCAGCCTAGAGGCGGTGGGAGAGAGAGATGTAGTCCTTGGGAGGTGCCAGAATGATGGCCACTGGTGATGACAGGGAAGGTGATGGTGGTGATGAGGAAGAAGTCGGCTAACATTTCAGGTTGTTCTACAGGAGATGGTGAGAGTCTATGGGTGTGCAGATGTACATTCTGTAGTATCTCTGTCTATCGTACTGAGTTGGGGTGTTTATGACTGTGCTAAATGTAGTAATAAACTATATTTGTAAATATAGAAGAGTTCTTATAGTATGAGTGTTGCAACTGTGCACATCGGAGTTCTCAACTATATAATTATTTAAATAATACTGGGCCTGATCTTGGGACAAGAACCTGTCAACCCTCAAATGATAACTGGGGATTTTTAAGTAATCAATATAATTAATATACAATGTAAAGATTGGGCAACAATAGTATATGTTAACATTGTACCGTGTCATCCTCTAGAAGAGATCTCCATCAGTGAAGTATTAATATAGAAGTATGTTACACAATTGGCTGAATTCATCCCTGTAACTTCACTAATACTAACAGTTACTCCTGGATCCTATTGTGCCTATTATATAGAAAGTGCTATTAAACAGAAGAGCCAGTATTCAGGCTGCTTGTTTTTAAAAGAAACCCACATCAGTTAATATATCCTATAGCCACTCAGAAAACAGGTGAAGAAAGGAATCATAGCTCAAGTATTAAACTAGTTAAAATGCAGTAGGACAAGAAAGAAAATGTTTTATACATCTTGAAAGCAAGTCAGAGAAGCTGTCTCTTGTTGAATATTACCATATACACATCAAATCAGAAATGTTTAACTCAAAGTGTATTTGAGTTGAGTGCAAAATAAATCTCTAAAAAGTCTTAAATGGTGAAGACACTTTTCACATGTACATATCTCAAAAACAGCTACATAAATTGCTGTTTATTATTTGAATTACTGTAGTATCGAGTCCCCAATAAGGATCCAGGTTCCGTTGTGCTAGGTAGAGACACAGAATAAGGGAATTGTCCCTGCCTGGACTTGTTTATGATCTCAGGCCTCATACTTACAATCAGATCCACATGGGCTCATCTCTTCATAGATTAACAGATTCTAAGGCCAGAAGGGTCCATTGTGATTATCTAGTCTGACCTCCTGTATAACACTGGCCATAGAACTTCCCCAAAATAATTCCTACAGCATCTAATCTTGATTTAAAAATTGCCAGTGATGGAGAATCCATCATGACCCTTGGTAAATTGGTGCAATGGTTAATTATCCTCTCTGTTGAAAATTTACACCTTATTTCCAGTCTGAATTTGTCTAGCTTCAACTTCCAGCCATTGGACCATGCTATATCTTTCTCTGCTAGATTGAAGAGCCCATTATCAAATATTTGTTCCCTGTGCAGATACTTATAGACTAATCAAGTCACCCCTTCTCTTTGTTAAGCTAAATAGATTGAGTTCTTTGAGTCTATCACTACAGTATAAGGCATGTTTTCTAACCCTTTAGTTATTCTTTAGCTAATCTCTGAACCCTCTCCAATTTATCAACAACCTTCTTGAATTGTGGATACCAGAGTTCGACATTGTATTCCAGCAGTGAAGACCAATATGGGCATTAGAAAAATGTTAAAGTACCCAATCAAAAATAGGCATTTAAAAAATAATGGATGTTCAAAAGAGAGGAGTGGATGCAGAAGAGTAAGACCCACAAAGTCAACTAACCTCATAACTGGCAGATAATGAAACAAACAAACAAAAATTACATCAGGAATTCAACAAAAGCCAGTTGTGTCACTGTACTGCAAACTCCCCATTAAGCTACAAATAGGTCTGAGTAGCTTACAATGAAAACTTGTTCCACAAAAACAAGTCACAATTTTTTTAAGTGACAAGCTAGCCAATGGTAGAAATTTGAACCAACAGTTCCTATCTCTCTCTTCGCTGGAGTCAGAAAAGTTCTCCTTATTCCCTCTGAGCAAATCCTTTCCAAACAAACTATTGACAGTACTACCAATTTGCTATTTACCTGTCATAGTAGTAATTCACATTCACTTAACCTAAAATATTAACACTAGACACTGTATTTAAATAAAGAGGCATTTTTCATTGAGAAAATATTCAGAATAATATTAAAATAAATATTTAAAATTTACATAGAAGGAAATGAGCACAGTAGCTAATTCGTAGTGTGAAGTCTTTCTAAGCCATCTCTTAAATCAGTGTCGGCCAGTCAAATCCCTATCTAACAAGTCAGCAAGGTGACTTTCTTGACTAGATAATGAAGCAACAGTGATGGTGTGTGACATGCTCAAAGTCCAAATAATCGCCACACTTGGGGTCGGGAAGGAATTTTCCCCAAAGTCAGATTGGCAGAGACCTGGGGGAGGTTCACCTTCCTCTGCAGCCTGGGGTCACTTGCAGGTTTAAACTAGTGTAAATGGGGGAATATCTGTAACTTGAAGTCCTTAAATCATGATTTGAGGACTTCAGTAACTGAGCCAGAGGTTAGGGGTCTATTACAGGAGTGGGTGGGTGAGGTTCTGTAGCCTGCGTTGTGCAGGAGGTCAGACTAGATGATCATGATGGTCCCTTCTGACCTCAGAGTCTATGAGTGTTGTGTGGAATTACTCCATTTTGTCTAATTTGGCTACAATCAAAGGATCTCATCTGCTCCTTCTAGATGCTGCTTGTCTAGAATTTGGTGTGAAAAAGCAGTCTGTTAATGAGGAACACAAAGCTTCATGAGGCATGAACACATGAGGGTTAACTCAAACAAGTATCCTACCTTCATCAGCCCCTTTCTTTGAAACCTACTGCAGAGACCCAGAGGAGAAGTCAGATCTAAGCCACATAAAGCGGAGCAGGTGCTCTTCACTCTCTTTTCCAGTGCCATGGAAAGAAAAAAATTGGGTGCTGTCTTACCTTAAAAGTGCTCTCTGAAGGAAGGAACCACCTCAGCTTTCTGGGTCCCCTCGGTGTCTAAAGATACAGAAGAACACAGTCATGCCTCCTTACTGGTGGGAGATCTGCCATCTTGACTCACATGAATAAACCCAGCAGTGATTCTAATTTATAGCTGCACACAGCCCCACATAGTGGCAGAAATTCAGTACTGCACAACTCCCATTGAAAATAAGAGGAAATTGCACTCTTAGAGTGTTTGTTCTGCAGCTCCTCTCCTCTGCAGTTCACTTTTTCTGCTTTGTCTTTGTCCTGATCCTGCAAACACCAATGAATGTGCTTAACTTTACCCACATGAGTAGTCCCACTGACTTCAATGCAATACTCATGTGAATAAAGTTAGGCATGTGTGTAGCAGTCTGCAGGATCAGAGTTCTTCTCTTCATGGGTGGATGATGTTGGTGTCCTTGGCCAGAGGAGGCTCAAGGGCATAGGTGACGTGTAGGGGAGCATGCGGGGTCAAGTGCCCCCTACAGATTTCTGCGTGGCCTGCCAGGGCAGGGGTGGGGGCAGGAGAAGGACTCCCTTCTCCTGCTGGACCTGTCTCCCCCCCCCCCCCCCGCATCCCCCAGCATGCTTGGCTCCTGTCCTTGGCAGCAGAATTACTTTTAAGACAAAGCACCATCCTGACTGGTCTCCATCCTTCCTTCTCACTCTGAATCTAAGTTTATAGCCATGGTTGGCTGCAGTGGATGTCAAGGAGCTGAGACTAGCTGGAGCACTGAGGCTGTCTGGCCAGGTTCCCTCTGCCATGCTCCTGTAATTCCTAGGTGGATGAACCATCCCCTTTATACTAGCAGATTCAAGGGATGTAGGAGAACCCTGAATAGGGGTATAAATGACCTTAGTGCAAATGGATTATTGGGATTATTGAATGTTTTCCCAGCATTTGGGAAATCCACATGAAGTTTTTGTGTCTCCTAACAACATGATCCAATTATTTCCCTTATTAGACACTACATTTCCCAATCACAAGAGAGGTGAGTTCAGTGTTGGTAAATCTGAATTGGCCATCACAGTTATGGCTAGGCTGGCAGTCAATGAGACTCCAGTTACAAGAAGTAGCCCCTCATTAGAAACATTGGTATGTATCGCTGGTAAAGGAAGCACTTGACAGCTGCAGTAATAAATATATTGTAGCTTGTTTGGTGGGAGAACAACTGCTCATTGAATAAAATAGCAATAGATCTAAGAATCTCGTGATTAAAACACTGCTGAGCGTAGGTGAATTAACACAATAATAGCACAGCATCCCTTTCAGCACTCAGTTTGACTGCTGTGATTGGAGGTCTTTGAGTACATCTAGCTCCCGACTCTTACAAAAGAAATGAACTCTCTGTAGGTTATTTTTTAAAAGAGATGCCATATATAATACCAAAAAGTGACTGTACTTGCAGGGTGGGCAGACACACAAAGCTTTTATTTATTTCTTCAGCTTGAGCGCCACTGTGCCAGCAGGTTCCTTGTTAACTGACATTGCTCATTATATTTTATTAATACCATGATGGTGGAAGCTTCAGTGCATTGTAAAATTTGAAGCAGCAGCAGCCCAAAGCCCTGCTGTGTCAGTGTCTCTCATGCTGTAAGGCTGGTTTCCCTGGGGAGATTCTGACCCCATCCAGGGGAGGCTTGAGTAAGACCAAGGAAATGGAGGGACTGTGGCAGAAGAGGATAAAGCGGTGGTGAGTGCAGTACAGGGAGGTGGTACAAATTGTCATAACTCCATTGACTTCAGGGGAGCTAAAACAATACAGCAGCTGAGGACTTGACAAACGCAGCATATTGAATATTTTGCAGTGATTATTCTGTAGGGTAGATTCAGGCACAGCCTTGCATAGGAGTAAGGCGCAGTGCCAAACTTCACTGCCCTTCTGGAAGTCCTGATCCCTCCAAAAGCTCCCTCAGGCAAAGGGATATGGGTTGGTGCAGAGGCGGGAAAGGGATATGGCTCCTCCTCCTTTACAAACAAGGACAGCTCCCTCCTGGATGCCCATGGTGGGACATGGCCTTGTATGGGGTGCAAAAGGTTCAGGGAGGAAATTACAAAATTTCATCCATGCCATCCTATTCCTTTGAAGTGCTACAGCAGAACAGAAGAGCAGAGAGATTTCTGATGCCCGTTGTCCACAAGGTGTCTGCTCTGATACCCCATAACGTCAAAGAAACCAAACAATGTGGGCACAAATCTGAGGAGCAGATCTGCAAAATGCACCATGTGCATTTACTATCTCAATGTGCACAACACTGAAATGCAAAATGCATTTTTCAAAACATAGCTTTAGATTTTTAAAAATACTTTTTAGAAAAAGTTGCAGCCCCCTCTGCCCCACTCCTTTCAAAGTACAGTCCCGTGACATCACAGTCAAGCACAGCGTGATGCCAGGTGCATGATCTAGAAGTTAGAGTAGAGGTCTGAGAGCCACCACTAGTAACAGTTCTTGGCTTTGATGTGGGACTTGGTCATTCATTACCCCTTTCAGTGCCTCAGTTTACCCATCTTTAAAAGGGTATAGTAAAACGTACCTATCTCACAGGGGTATTGTATGAACTAATGGAGGAATATACTGTTTATAAAACACTTTGAAATCCCTGGATGAAAAGTGCCATAGAAGAGCCATTTATTGACATTATTCACAATGTGGGCAAACCCATTTGTTTGCAAGCATGACAGTCCTGTCTTGGGCATAAAGTCGAAGAAGAACCTTACTTCACAGAGCCTCTTTTACTCTGCAGTGACTAATAAAGTGTCTTGGCAAACTCCACTGCATTTGCTATGTGAAATGCCACTGGATGTAGTATTATTTTAGCATCTCTTTTCCTCCTGTGATTTCAATTAGTTCTGGATACTTCAAGGTGATCAGCAATTACACAGACAAGGAACCAACTATTGCATCATGCCGCTCTAAAGCTTGACATTTAACAAAACAAATGGATAAGCCAATAAAAACCCCTTCAGAAAGGTCAATAAGATGTCTTTAGACCAGTGGTGGGCAACCTGCAGTCCATGGGCCACACACGGTCCGTCAGGATAATCCGCTGGCGGGCTGTGAGACAGTTTGTTTACATTGGCACAGCTGCCCGCAGCTCCCAGTGGCCGCGGTTCGCCGTTCCCGGCCAATGGGGGCTGCGGGAAGCGGCAGCCAGCACATACACTTTGTATTCTGTGTTGTAATTGAAATCAATATATTTGAAAATGTAGAAAACATCCAAAATCTTTAAATAAATATTATTGTTTAACAGTGCGATTAATCGCGATTAAGTTCTTTTAATCTTTTAATGTGTAACTTCCACATCAGAAGTACTCCTCAGACAGCTGACCTAATTCTATTCTACTTGGCTGGTTTACAGAGCCTCTGGCTTCACTTTGGGTAGCAGCAAATTCATGCCTAGTGCCATACACATTTCCAGAGGCCTTGTATTAAGAACCAGAATTGTGTGTAATGTCTCCAACTTTTCCCATCTCTCTGGTAAAAGAGAAACATTATTATTATTTTGAGGCTTGGGGAGTAAGTTTGGATTGTGAACGTTAATTCAGTGCAGGGCTTGATTTGCAATGCATATTCTCATACTCCACATCAGAGATAACTGTCTCAATCTTTCCAACTGGGAATCTTACACACTCCATTAGTGCATGTACAGTACACAGGCTTGTGGCTGTCTATGTTCATGCCCATCTGTTAGGTTGGCACAGAGATATTATGGCTACTTCTGGGGAGACTAAAGACTAGAGGCACATGTAGCTTTCTGATATCTGGAGAGGTTAGGGATCTAGGTCTGTGAAACTTTTGAAACAAAACCCTAGAGTAGCCCAGTTTTATCTGATTTTGGATTTTGTCACAGACCTAAAATTTTATTGTATTTCTTGGTTCTTATATGGTACCTAACACCATCATATTTGAGAATCTCACATAATTATGAAATGTACACAAGACATATGTATTCCCCCCCCACTCCAGTCAGCCAGGAACTAGAGTGTGGAAGGCACCTAGGAGTGTTGTGGTTTTGTTCTTTGAAGGTTGGGTTCAAGTAAAATGTAGGTTTTGCATTTTATTTTGAAGATACTGAGTTTCATGGTCACCCGGTTTGCTTCCAGGAGAATTCCAAATCAGAGGGCCAGTTGCTCAGAAAGCTCTGCATCCCGTGTACACAAGAAATTTCACTGCTGAGGTTCCAGTGTCCTCCTCCTCTTCCTGGCAACGCAACTACAACCCAGACCTCAACATCGTTTCCAAAGATCAAAGCAGGAGCACCCTTCATGCATCCCGCAAAATATTTCCTGGCCTCCCCAACAGCCAACATAGGCATTAAAACAAAGAGGAGTCTGCTGGCACCTTAAAGACTAACAGATTTATTTGGGCATAAGCTTTCGTGGGTAGAAAACCCACTTCTTCAGATGCATGGAGTGAAAATTACATATGCAGGCATTATTATACTGACACATGAAGAGAAGGGAGTTACCTTACCTTACCTTATCTTAACAGGGCCAATTCAATCAGGGTGGATGTAGTCCACTCCCAATAATTGATGAGAAGGTGTCAATACCAGGAGCGGGAAAGTTGCTTTTGTAGTGGGACAGCCACTCCCAGTCCCTATTCAAGCCCAAATTAATGCTGTTAAATTTGCAAATGAATTTTAGTTCTGCAGTTTCTCTTTGAAGTCTGTTTTGGAAGTTTTTTTGTACAAGTATGGCTACTTTTAAATCTGTTATAGAATGTCCAGGGAGATTGAAGTGTTCTCCTACTGGCTTTTGTATGTTACCATTCCTGATGTCCAATTTGTGTCCATTTATTCTTTTACGTAGAGGCTGTCTGGTTTGGCCAATGTACATGGCAGAGGGACATTGCTGGCACATGATGGCATATATAACATTAGTAGGTATGCAGGTGAATGAGTCCCTGGTGGTGTGGCTGATGTGGTTGGATCCTCTGATGGTGTCGCTAGAGTAGATATGGGGACAGAGTAGGCAACGAGGTTTGTTACAGGGATTGGTTCCTGGGTTAGTTTTTCCATGGTGTGGTG